GAAATATTACCATCCACATCGTTTCATGGATGACTTATCGAGTAGACACCTCTATACAAAGCAAGGAGCAACTAATGTTCCGTCAATTATCTGTACTATTGTCGGGTGTGACATAACTTACTTGTATACTGGTAGCAATATTGGCATTGGTTCACTCAAATGCGGTGCTATCTGCAGAAGATTTGCACGTTCGAATAGTGCCTCCTAAAATGAGTAGCTTATACGTGATTCTTCCTGATGAAGTTAGTAGCTCCTACCTTGACCATGCGATATTGTTCTCTATCAGCTTTCATTATAGCTGCTTGCAAATATCTGACACCTCCGTGTATTAGCTTTGTGCTCCGAGATGATGTGCCAGAAGAGAAGTCGTCCAATTCCACTAGAGCCGTCTTCATTCCTGTATCAAAGCCAGTGCTTCTATATAATGTACAAGGTTATAGTATTAAAGACCTCTGGTCTGTGAATCTAAAGCTACACCGGCGCCTGTAGCACCTCCTCCAATCACCAACACATCGAATTGCATGCCGGACTGAAATACACAGTTTGAAACTAAAGAAATTGAAGTGATGACATATCCTTTGTTTTGATGGAACTGGCGGCTGGAAGGTGGGGCTTCGATCAAGGCCAGGGAATGATCAGAGTACACGCTCGCGAGAGACGCAGACTGCTTTGCGGATGCGAGCGGCCACTTTCCAGCCGCCATTCTCGTTGAATCAAAGGGCACTATCTCACCCTAAGATCATCGATGAGCTTCTCTCTAGGCGGCAAAGGTTCTGAGGACTTCCTATTCAAGCCAGACACTCTATCTGCATGCACTGTGCGGAAATACCGTTTCTGAAAGACTCCAAGTCATAGTTGCATCTTCTTCAGGAACTTCGTAGACTCGCCATTTGCCATTCGAAGCGTTTCTCATTGGCGACATCAAATGCATAGAGAGCCGCTGTGGATGCGCACACCACAGCTCCAACCTTCGCTAGCCGGGAAGTAAGCATTTCAGAAAATGAAGGGTACTGCAGCTAGAACCTTTTATATATGTGATGATACACCAAAACAATGTGAGTAAACAGCTATCCATTTTGTATGGTAAGGATGGTTAATCAGTCGCTCTCTCAATTAATAAGCCTCGGGCATGCTCCAAGCGATTGAGTCGCGACGCGATCTGGCAGTTTGCCAGATCAGTCTTCAAGTGCAACATATGCAGATTACAAATGCAGAGCGTATATGACTACTACAGACACTTAGAGTGCACTTATCATGAGTTGTATAAATTAGAGTATTGCCAAACCGATCCGCAAGGAAAGCGCTTAAAGTATGCTTGGATCTCTATGTCTACATCCAGGGAAGGTTAGACTCAAGATAATGCTTTCTTGCCACATAGTTGCACCTTCAAAGGAAGATTGATAAAGATTTGGTCAGGTTCAAGATTCAAATATCTAAACTAAGCGGTGACAACATACTAAACTGTATTAGAGTAAACGGATTTCTTATTTAGATGACATGGTATTTTATGTTTACCCTAGCTAATATACAAAAATTTCGGGAACTGTTTGATAAAGCATAAGGCCTACAAAAAATTCACCAAATATGCGCTCAATCATAGGCCGACTTCAATTCTAATTCCGAGAAATTTTATACTTATTCTCCCAAATATGCATTTGTACACTACAAACCTTCAAAAAAGACCACAGAAGTCTAGCTTTGAGCTGCCCTACTGAACAAGAAATAACGTTCTTAAAGGCAGCGTCCAGGCAAACGTCCGATCTCGAGGACCACGCCCACTTCCTCGCACGGCCCGCCTCCTCGAACGAAACCTCCTGCCTTGAAGTGTCTTCACATGGCAAATGCAGTCGAATACATAGTGTTTACCTGTTATTGCTTGCTTCCGTCATGTTAGCATCAAAAGCACTTGTCCGGGTTATCCAAAAATAGCTCCCAAAGGGTGGTTTCTTTAGGGAATTCACGCCTTTTGTGTGCCATATTCAAAATCAGCGCCATGAAAAGGCGTGGATAACATAAAAATATGGAAGTCG